CTGTCCACCTGTTTAGATCATAAACCCTCAAGGTGAGGAAGGACTTTCCTCACCCTCAGCCCAGCAAAGAGTCCTAGCACAGAGAAGGCCCTCAATCCACAGGATTTCACAATTCCTTCCCTCCCTTTTCAAATTCAAGACATTACTAATGCCCTCCCATCTCCTAATATTCAAATGGACCAGAAACCGAAGAAACAGAACCTGTTGTTGATTGTCTACTTGGAGATGGGCCTCCACCCGGCTTCCTGTGTTTTGGGACATTTCTGTTTGTTCGGACTCCACCAGAGGGTGGAGAAAGACAGTGAGGTGATGCTCGGGCCAGTTCAGTTGTCGATTTACTAACATATCTGATTTTAAAATTACAGCCAAAATGAGGTTGTGCCTTCCTGAGGATTTCAAAGACCACCACCACTTAGGTCTCACATTACCTCAGATAACACTGGAACCTTGAACCGACTGACCTAGGAGGGTGACGAAGGCCCCAAGCACGTAGTCCAGGAGAATATCATCCCACACCTTCTGTCCCTTCCCCTCCAGTAACACAAAAGGAAACTGAGTGACCCAACTTGGTTTCGTTTCATTTCACACCACTGGATCTCCAAGGAGCACGGAAGGAGAGTTAGAAGCTGAACATACTAAGATCAGCAAGGAAGTCAGAAGCCAGGTGATTTAGGCATCAACATCCAAGTGCATTTGGCTGGTAAACCCATGCAAAGGCCTGTGTTATAATATTCACACAAATTTTTTAGAGAAAGGATATTTTTAGGCCTTGGGTGACATACTGTTAGATCTAGGCCATTATGATGCTATCTTTAATGAAACTGAAAGACCCAAGGTAAAATGCTTTGGGAGCTCCAAAAGCAATCATAATTCAACCCTGCTCAGGGAAGTTTTTCTTCTGAGCTTGCGTATTATTTTGAATGTGCTGCCCTCCTGACTATTCTAAATCATGGAAAGCTAATTCTGGAATTGTGGGGATACTTCTTTCATTACCCAAAATCATAAATTACTAGGGCACCTGGGTGGCTCAGTGGGTTAAGCCTCTGCCTTCGGCTCGGGTCATGATCTCAGGGTCCTGGGATCGAGCACCGCATCAGGCTCTCTGCTCAGTGGGGAGCCTGCTTCCCCATCTCTCTGCCTGCCTCTCTGCCTTGTGATCTCCGTCAAATAAATAAATAAAATCTAAAAAAAAAAAAAATCATAAATTACTTTCCCTACAGTCAAGAACATTAGTAGCAGTACCTTTACTTCTCATAAAAGCATCTTAGAATTCAAGCATGCTGATAAGGAAAGGGACTCTAGAGACAATCTAGTATAGCCCCTCATTTAATATAATAGAGCCTGGAGCACCAGAATGGCTCAGTTGGTTAAGCATCTGACTCTTGATTTTGGCTCAGGTCATGATCTCAGGGTTGTGAGATCAAGACCCATGTTAGGCTCCTCGGTGCTCAGTGGGAAATCTGCCTCTCTCTCTCTCTTTTTCCCTCTGCCCTCCCCCTGCTCACACACTCTCTAAAATAAATAAATAAATCTTTAAAATATATAAAACTTTGAAGTTCAGAGAAGTTAAGCGACAGCCCAGTATAACTTAAGTAGCTGGCAGAATATGTGCCAGGCACTGTCAAAGAGCTTTATCTATATTACTCATTTAATATTCGCAACTAACCCTAAAAAAAATAAGTACAGAATTATCTCCACTCCACAGATGAGGAAACTGAGGCACAGCAAGGATAAGTTATGTGCCTAAAACTGCCCATGGGACTCCAGAGCCCATGGTCTAAACTACTAAACCTCTAGGATTAAAACCCAGGACTCCTGACCCCAGAGAGTGTCCTCTCTATTACAAATAATTCTAAGCCTCACCAAAGTGAGAACCACATTCAAAAGGGTCGGCAAACCTTATTTAAATTCTGATTAGAACGAACTACCTATCAAAGATTTTTTTAAGCAATCTGGGAAACCTGAAGAGTATATCAACAGATTATTTATTAATTTTATCATAATGGCATTATATTTCTGTACAAAATATCCCTATTTTTAACAACACATACTAGGTATATGGGGTAAAAGAACAAAAGGCCTGGAATTCCCAATGTCACACGTACACACACACACACACACACACAGGACACTTAAAACAAAGTTGGGTAAAATTTCGATAATTACTGAATCTGTGTGATGGATTATAAGGGTTCATTATACTATTCTCTCCATTTTTTTTGTATGTTTACTTTCGAGCTCTTCAAATTAGTACAAAATCATTTTTTTTTAAAGATTTCATCTATTTATTTGACAGAGAGAGATCACAAGTAGACAGAGAGGCAGGCAGAGAGAGAGAGAGAGAGGGAAGCAGGCTCCCCGCTGAGCAGAGAGCCCGACGCGGGACTCGATCCCAGGACCCTGAGATCATGACCTGAGCCGAAGGCAGCGGCTTAACCCACTGAGCCACCCAGGCGCCCCAAAATCATTTTTAAAGTCCCACAAACCTGAGCCTATGAAAAATGAAGCTATCAAACAATAAAATATTTATGAGCACATCTCGCTTTTAAAGTTTAAGTGGCACCCTTTATTACCCACTGAACTATTTAATTTTGTTGTTTCTGATCTCACTACCAGCCACTCACCAAAGCTAGAAGCATGTCAAGAGCCAGTTAAATTCAAACCCTATTCATTTTTAATTTTAGTCCACCTGCAAAATTGCTTTATTGGTCAGCTAGTTAAGAATATTCATTGAGTTTTTACTATAATGTAGGCATTGTATTAGCATTGACTCAAGTCGTCAAAGACAGAGCAGAGCAATACTTCCATCCAAACATGGAAGAACAGACCATGGAATTCCAAACCCTGGCTTGGTTGCTGTTCGGCCTCCCGCAAGGATCAGGGGGACCTCCTTATATCCTCCTAGATTAAAAGCCAAACCAGAACTTCTGTGGCAGGTGCACCTGCTGTGGCTTCCTGACGGACACTGGGAAGCAGCAAGAGGAAGCAGGTGGTGGCAGAGTACCTGTTTTAGGGGTAATTTTTAGTATCTGTATGCTATCTCAAATTCCTCCTTCTGCAATGCAGAACCATTGCCACGCACATCCCACTCTGCCAGGGAGCCCCTCAAATGCCCCAGGGATGACACCTGCTTTCCTACAATTTTTTTTTTGTTTCATCACCAGTTTCATCAGAGAAGTGACCACTGACAGACAACACTAAGAGCTGAGACACCAGCCAGGCATCTGACTGTTCATTGGGAAGGTGCCTAAGGAAAACAGATGTGCCATTAAAGTGTCATAAGGTAACACAGAAGTGTGTCATACATGGGAATGGACATTACCAGGTCACTATCAGTAGGCCGCCTCCAGTAGGAAGGGCAGGTACTCAAGGAATGCTGCACGTCTACAGCTGTTGCAGTGTGTGCCTATTTTGGAATTTCCGTGCTCAGCCTAATGGTTATTAAACCAGTACCTCCTCTTGAGGTCAGGCCTGCCAGAACTTTGGAAATCATGGCATAGTTATGTCTTACTTACTCTTCTTTTGCCTCAAATCCCTGATGAAGACATTAGACCCCCGGTAAAAAGAACCGAATTTCAGGTAACAACAGAAAAGACATCACAGATGTTGCAGGCCTTATCCTTAACATACACCCAATGGCAAAAGTCAAGAAGATGCAGGGAGTCCTCCTTGTACCAAAGGAAGAGAAGTCAGTTTGAGTTTTGGAGGAGAAGCCAGGTTCTGGTCTATTCCCAACTCTGCTCTACTCTTTCCATCAACTGATTAAGTTCAACAGAAAAGAAAAAATAAAATCCCTGTTTATTACTGGCAGACTGGAGTTTAAGGAATCTGGGGTGAGTTGGCAGAGCTATCAATTGAGAGAAAAATCAAACTAAGCAAGCTGGATATGGAAACCAGCAAAGCCTCATCTCCAATCTCCACAAACATCATTCATGTCATCCTGTGACTGCTCAGGAAGGGCATCTATCTGCCACCAGAATGATGCCTTGGCTCCTGTGTTAAGGGCCCCTGCACTCAACAGTACAATATCCCACACACAGCACCCCAAAGCACAGAGAATCACTTCTTGCATCATTCCAACAAACACCACAAATCTCCCGCCCACAAACAAGCCTCTTTCCAGAACACAAATGCCAACAACAATGCAAGGAGCAACTAAAACTTTCCAGCTGCCCCAGAGAACATGCTGCCGTCAGAAGTCGCTCCTCTCCTGCACCTTCCAAGTGATCTGGGTGTACTCTGTTTCCAAGTATAGCAGGGCCAGCCCTGGCTACAGAAAAGTCGATTTAAAACTTCATCTTCCTACACCCAGGGGCCCATTCTTTAAAGATGTTCTGTTACGACCAGATTACTCTTGGGGCTGTTTGTTTCACTTGCTTCAAATCCCCAAACTTTTTGGTAATCTGCACCAACGCTGAAATTACCAAGGGTTTCTATCACGCCCCCTAACCCTTGTAAGAGGAGGCCAAACCTCAGGAAGCCGGTTTAAGGGGAGGGGGCAGAACCGCTTCCCTTCTGGAGTTCAGCCCACCCTAAGGGTGCGCAGGGCCACCTCTCACCCGGGTTACCGACTGGAAAAAGAAGCCCTCACCTCCACTCCCCTGCAGCCCTCCAGGCCACAGGTGCCAAGACCCTCCAGAATACCGGAAGAGCCGGGGACTGCGGGAGGAATGGGGGCAAGGAAGTGTAAAGCCCCAATTAGCAGAGGAAGGTAAACCTGCGGGGGCGGGGGGCGGAGTTGAGGGAGATGACCCCCTCACTTCCAGGAAATTTCCCAGGAGGGAAGGGGCAACAGTGGGGAGAAGACCCCAGACTCGGGGTGGGGATATGGAAGTTGCTGCCCTCCAGGATCTTCCCCTCTCTCCTGTCCAGCATCCACCACCTCTTAATCCTGCAGACCCAGCAGAGCCGTGCAGCTCGGCCTGGGCCCGACCGACTTAGAGGAGCGTGGAGGAGGTGGCCGCCCGCCCGCCTCCCACCGTCCGTGGTCCCGCACTCACCAGAAGCACCGAGCCACGCACCACCTCCGACACGCTCTGCCGCAGCTCGGCCGCCGTGCCGGGCTTACTCAGCGCCCGGGTGAACTTCCGAGTCTCCGCCGAGGCAGGGAGCAGCGGCGGCTGAGACATCCTCGCCGTCACTGCCGCCGCTGCGCCAGCTCCCGCGGTCCGGCCCCGCCGCGCCGCCGCCAGGTGCGCCCTGAGCGCCCGGCCTGGCCCGCCCGCAGCTCCCGGCGCCGCCGCCCGCCCGCTCCCCCTGCCGCTCGCCGCGCGTCCTGGCGGCGCAACCCGAGTCGCGCCCTCCGCACCGTGTCACGCCCCGAGGCGCCCCCGGAGACGTCCGCGGTCCCCCGCACTCAGAGCAGCGCCCGGGCTCGCTAGGGGCGACCGTGAGTGTGGCGGTGGCGGCACCCCCATGCTACCGGTCTCCCTCGGCTGCCGCTCGCCGGGCCGCCTCCTCGGGGCGGGGTGTCCGGCGCGGGGCGGGGCGGGGCGGGGCGGGGCGGGAGGAGGAGGAGGGGCGGTGCGGCCGGACTGCGGGCCCGGCAGGTCCGCCCCGCAGGCGCAGCTCGGCGCTGGAGCGAGGTGGCGGGACGCTGGCTACCGGACGGGTGGGGCGCCCCCCTCCGACCCCTCTGTTTCCCGGGCCGCTAGTCCGAAGACCCGAGGTGAAGGCCGCGCACGCCGCTGACAGGGCGCACGGTCTGGCGCTGGAGCGGGACCAAGTCCCCGAAACCGGCGCCTGTATAGTGGGACCCCACGCTCCGCGGCAGGGAGCGGGCTCGGTGGCACCACGCCCCCCGTGCGGCCGGGGCTCTGGGGTTTAGGGAAGGTGGACTTGATGCGGCACGGAGAGAGCACGGAGCCGGATGGAGCGCCCTGTCCGGGACCCGGCGGGGAGCGCCACAAGCTCTCGCAGCGGCGCTTCTCGGCCTAAAAGCCCTCAGGGGCGTAGCGCGAACGGCGGGGAGCCTCCGGATCGCCCCCGGGCGAGGAGCGGCGCGGGCCGGGACAGTCGCTGCGAGTCACGCAGACCCCCAGCCCGCAACGACGACCTGCTGCGTCACCTTGGGCGGGATCGAAACTTCTGAGCCTCGCCTATTTCTACTATAAACTGAGGAAAAATAATAACCTGCGCGAGGCTGAAGCGACACCTCATGCCTTCCTGCCGCCCGTCCGCGGCCGGGCGGGACCGCAAGGCTCGGAGCCCGGGAAACCCAGAAGCGCCGGCCTGCGAGCCCAATGCAACCCAGGAGCTGGCGGCTGCTAGCGACAGCCACCCATCTCGGGAACTTCCTCACACAGGCTTTGCCGCTTTCCCATCCCTACGGGGTCCCACCACCTTGTCCCCTGTTCCCCTCTTTTCTGAGGAAACCCTGAGCAGCCTAAGTCTGACCCGGGCGGGGAGAGGGCGTACAGGGAAGGGGGGAGGAATTTGAGCTGGGCCGCGAGCGCATGCTCAGTCGTCTGGGTTTGGGCGGGTTCCCGGGGCGGGGATAGGCGGCTCCGCTGATTGGCCGGTCTGTTCAGGCCACGCCTACTGCCTGCTGATGGACAGCTCCTCACCTGCCAGGTCGGATTCCGCAGCTCGCGGTGGCATCTTGAAGCAGGCCTTCGGAGGAATCGCCGCCACCGCTCCTGCCCAAGTTCCCTGAGGCGTCGAAGCCTTTTTCCCCGCAAGGAAGGAGGCCGCCCATTTCTGGCCACCCCACCAGAAAGCCAAACACTGGCCTAGCTCGGAATCTTAAAGGGGTAGGGGAAACCCAGTCTCGTGTAGGAAGCAGAACACCGCGGTTCAGGCCTTCACGGGCAGGTCTGGCGCATAATACGACTGGAGGTTAGGCATGCAGTTAGCGCTCAATAGAAGCTCGCTGGATTGGATTGTTTTCTTAGTAGGTTGGAATGCAGGATGTGGCTCTGAGGGAGCCTGACAGGCTGGATGATACACGAAACAAGTCATGAATGATAAAAACAATTCACACTAACCCATTTCCTCCTCAGCGATTTAAGGGAATAGCCTAGACATTTCCCAGCCCTCTCGTGTTCCTAGCGTAGAACCGGATGACCCCCACACGGTGAGGCGGTGCAGGACCCTATCTCCCTGCCCTTCGGGGGGGGGGGGGGGGCGCTTGCGCTGTTTTGTGTCACCGGGCACGTTCCGCATTTACACCTCTGGGCCGCCCAGGGGTACGTCAGCTCCCTTCTTAGCTAAATTGTTAGATCCTGGTCTGAGAAGCCTAAATTAAGATTTCCCTTCGGGCTTCAACTCCTGAAGTAGTCCCAGGCAGCACAAACCTTTACCCCACTGTGTTACCTTGGCTCTCTAAACCGTATATACTAACATATAAGGCAAACCGATCATGAATTTTTTTTTAATTAAAAACAATAGCAAAAGCATACCGGTTATGAGGTTTTCTTTTTTTCTTCCTTTCCCTTTTTAAGAAACACGTAAGTTAAAGAAAAGAGAGAGCACGTATGTCCGGAAAGTGAAAGGTTTCCCCAAACCTTCTCCTAATTTCACCCATGTCTCTACCAATTCTAAATTCCATGCTTGCTTACTAACCGGTTAGCTTCTAGATTGGGCAGATTTTCATTTAGGAAGCAGAGTGTAAGGTGCTGGCAGTAGTTACTGACAATGCCTTTTTTATTTTTATTTTTTAACTTTATTTATTTGAGAGAGAGAGAGAGAGCACAAACATGGGGGAGCAGCAGAGGGAGAAGGAGAAGCAGGGTCCCCACTGAGCAGGGAGCTGGACATGGGGCTTGATCCTTGGGATCATGACCTGAGCTGAAGGCAGATGCTTAACTGACTGAGCCACCCAGGTGCCCCAATGTCTAATCAAGTACAAGTTCTTTTTTTTTTTTTTTTTTTAGGATTTTATTTTTAAGTAATCTGTATACCCAACATGGGGCTGGAAACTACAACCCTGAGATTGAGAGTCACATGCTCAGGGTGCCTGGATGGCTCAGTCAGTTAAGTGTCTGCCTTCTGTTCAGGTCACCTGGGATCAGCCCTGCCTGGGGCTCTCTGCTAAGCAGGAAGCCTGCTTCTCCCTCTCCCAGTCCCTCTCCCTCTGCCACTTGTGATCTCTTGCTTGCTCACTTGCACATTCGCTCTCAAATGAATAAGTAAAATCTTTTAAAAAAGGAAAAAAAAAAAAAAAAGCAAGCAGTCACATGCTCTACTGACAGAGCCAGCCAGGTGCCCCTTAAACGCAAGTTCTTGCAGTCAAAGGAGGAGGCGTGGACTATGTGAACTAAGCCCAGGAATGCGGCTTTTCCCAGCAACCCAAAGGTGAGCCTTTTATTTTCCCCCGGTGAAGTGTGTTGTTAATAAACAGAACATTTCTCGTGTTTAAGTTTGAGCAGAAACTTGTTCCTTACTGTTCTGGGTTGAATTGCATCTCCTAAAAAGACATATGGAATCCTAACCCTGATACCTGTGATGTGGTCTCAATTTGCAAATAGGGTCTTTGCGCATGTCATCAAGTTAAAATGAGGTCATACTGGGGGCACCTAGCTGGCTTGGTCAGTGGCACACATGATTCCTGACCTCAGGGTTGTGAGTTTAAGCCCCACGCTGGGTATAGAGATTACTAAAAAAAAAAAAAAAAAAAAAAAAAAATTGAATAAATAACTAAAATGAGGTCATACTGGACCAAAGTGACTGATGTCCTTCAGAGGAGAGACACAGACACACAAGGAGAAAGCTCTGTGACAACAGAGGCAGAAATTGGAATGATGCATCTACAAGCCAAGGAATGCCAAGGATTGTTGGCAACCACCAGAAGCTGGAGGGGACAAAGAAGGATTCTTTTCTTGAGCCTTTGGACAGAGCATGGTCCTGCTGACACCTTGACTTTAGAGTTCTAGCCTCCAGGTCTAGAGAATACATTCTGTTGTTCTAAGCTACCCAGTTTGTGGTTCTTTATTACGGCCGTCCTTGGATATAAATACACTGACCAAAAAATAAATAAGTAAATAAATAAATACACTTACCAAAGGCTCCTTTTTTTTAAATCCCCACCAGAGCAGACCTAGAATTGTTTAAGTTTTTACTACTGCATTAACTCTCATGAGAGAGGAGTCACCCCTTATAGAAGGGTGAGTGCCTTCTCCCGGCCAGGGCACTGCATGGAATGGAGACGCCTGGTATTGGTTTCGTGGAAGAGACATCCATCTATTTTAGCTTCAGGAAGTGACCATCTTTGTTGTTCTGAAGCCATAGGAAGAAAGGTTTCCTTTCTGTTGAGGATGATACTAGGAGGTAGTAGGAATGAAACGTAATTGCAGCCGGTTTGGAACAATTGCATCTGAATAACTACCACACCCAAATCCTTATAATTCAAGCATTTTCCGTGTTTTGATCATAACCTCTTACTGCATCATTTCCTTGTTAGGTTTGCTTTTAGGATTTCTAGGTACCTTAATGATACATAATTAGTTCAAACTCTTTTCCTGCTTACATCTTGAAGAAGCATGTCTGTTTTGGGTATAGATAAAAAGCAACTGTAAAGACTAGGGAGTCCTGTGGATTGTAGCATCTAGAGCATCACTTTTTATTTTATCCTTGCATCGATTGAGTTTTTTAAAATAAGTATCTATTATTGTTGTACTTTTTTCCGTACAAAAGTCGAGTCCTTTTTTTACAAAAAAAAATATGTTGGCCTCTGTTGTATACAAGGCACTACTTGAGATCAATATTTATAATAATAAAATTCTGAAGCTTCTTACAATCTGATGGAGAATAGACTTTTTTTTATTGTGGCAGAATGTACATAATGTACCCTTAGAAGAATATCATTCAACATCCTTTCACATATGAAGTTATTATGACCATATCCAGTTGTCTCCTATATTTCTCATAATCATTAGTATTTATAATTCAACTGTTTTAGACTATAGCATGGAACATTGTTTCATGTTTGAACTATTTTTATAGTAAATAGTTGCTTTGCTACAAAACTAATAATAAAGTAAGAGGGGGCTATTAAATTAGCTAGAAAAAAGGAAAAAACCCCTGTTTTTAAGATGGAATTTGTCACTAGCCAGATTCATTCTATTTACCTCTCTTTAAAGGACAGCATCAAGGGGCGCCTGGGTGGCTCAGTCAGTTAAGCATCTGTCTTGTGACTTCCACTCAGGTCGTGATCTCATGGATTACGATCTCCTGGG